ACTCGATGCTCTAAAAAATTCACATGCTCTCCTGATTTGTGGCCTCTGCTTATGTATGTACTCCTTGATAGCTTGATAAATTAAAACTTTGTTCTGTGAGTTTCTCTCCAGGAACAGACTGACCACAGGCGGGAAACACACCTACAAGGCATCCATCACAGCTGACAGAGAATGGAACAATGTGATGCCTGGAGCTCATCACGCCTGGGGACCAACATCCGTGGACTTGCTCCTTACTGCCCATTTTCCCTGTATAACTGCCTCAAGATTCTGTAATTTGGGAAGATGGGTTTTAAGACATTGATCACCCGTCTTCCAATTAGCCGGCTAATCTAATTAAACTTCCCTTCTCGATCTCTAACTCGTCGTGATTAATTGGCTTAGATTGCTGCGAGCAGAGCGAGCCCATTACTCAGTATCAAGAACACTTAAGATATAATCTTTCAGCATATTTTGAGTGTACAGTACAGTATTATTACCTATAGTCACCATGCTGTACATTAGACCCCCAGGACCTACTCATCTTATAACTGGAAGTTTGTCCCCTTTGGCCAACGTCTCCCCATTTCCCTCACCTCCCAGCTCCTGGCAACCAACATTCTACTTTCTGCTTCTGGGAGTTCAATTTTTTTAGACTCCACATATAAGTGAGCTCATGCAGTATTCGTTAGATGTGCTCCCTTAACCGCCTCCCCCCTCCCCCGCTCCACCTGAGGTCTGGAGGTCTTTATATTTCAGTCTAGGGCTGGTCACCCAGTAAATCCTCTTGCTGCAGCCTGACTGAGTCCCTGTATTTTCCCACTCTGCATAGTCCCTTTCAAATTACTCCAACTACCCTTGTTTCATTTCACTCTAAGATACTGCTTCTCTGATTACTCAGGATGCTAAGCTTGGTGGCCTGAAGACTAGTCATACCGTACCCTCTACCCTCAGGCCAAAGAGTGGTGTTGGTCTTTTATAAGAGCTGTAAGCTTCTACCTTTGATTAACAGTTCTTTGGTGATTGGCGTGTGTGTGTGTGTGTGTGTGTGTGTGTGTGAGACACCTGGGTTCCGAGCGACAGCACAAATCCCCAAATGACCCCAAGGTTCATCCAGCCCACTCACCGTCTTGGTGACCTCCATGATGCGGTACAACACAAACTGGTAGCCACTTTGGTTCCCTTGGTTATATTTCTTCAGAGCCGTGTCCACAGCCTTAAATACATCCTCATCATTGCAGTCAATTTCTTGCAAGGACTCCTGGGTTAAACTTAGTAGCAGCCTGGAGCAAAGGAAAAGGACGGCAGTTAATTTCATGACTTAAAGGTCTCCTCTCCCTCTGGGAGTTTCACCAAGAATTGGGAGCCAACTTGAATGCTGATTTTAGCGATCTCCTGCTTCTCATCTACTCTGCTCTCCTCTCTCTGCCTCAGTGCTCTAGGGCTCTGGTTGGATTCCTGCTGCCATACACTATTTGCCCTATTCCAAAAGGACAAATGGCTCTGCTGGGTTATCCAAGCAGATTTCAGGCTGGAACATTGCAACACTGGGGTTGTTGACCTGCTTGTTTGCATTTGAGAAGCATGTGGGAGCGCAGAGCACATTTCCATGTGATTACACAACTTTTTATGGCAAATCAGAGCAGAATCTAATAAAAGAGGAGGAAAAAAAAACACCAACCACCTCTGTCATTGCCTTGTGACTTTCCCAAAGTCAGTTACAAAGGTCACTACAAGTGACACTACGCAATAATGAGTACAATGTGCAGACATCTTTCAATAAAATTTCTTTGCAGGATATCTAGCTGCGGAGAAGTAGGCTACTACCAATCATATCACATGCCTGGGGGGGCCCATGCACAGGGCCACAATGAGTGCTGGAAGTCCCACACCAGGATGTTAGTGAAACTAAAAATAAAATATGGGCATCCTATCTGGCCTCTGGCCAAGCCAGCCTCTCTCCACTCAATTGTACTAGTTCTAGAAAGGAAAATGCTCCCCAGGGTGGAGGAGACAGGGGAGAAGCATGTGAGGTGACAGGTTGAGTGAAGCCCTGCATCCTTTGTTGCTGCTGCTTGTTTCTGGTTTGGCGGATGTGGGTGTCTTTCACTCATCAAGCCTAAGCAGTTTTTATGATCAAGTTAGACTATTGGAGGAGAGGAGAGCTAGGGTAGGTTAAAGACATGGCTAGGCCTTAGAAGATCTTTGCCCTCAAGTCTTGCCATCCTTCCCTCCAAAAAGATGTTTGGCTTCTTTGTTGTTGCTAAGCTCCCTAGATTGGCAATTCAGTGTCCCTGAGAAGCCCCGGAAAAGAGGGGTCACCATGAGCTGAATGGTGGGCTTGTAGTGGAGTGGCAGGAACACAAGCTTGGCAGTAAGTCCAACCTTGATTCCAGTCTAGCTCTGCTGCTTAATTGCTGTGTGATCCTGAGCAAGTCAGGGTCATACGACCTCTCTGCTTACAGTTTCCTTACCTGTAAAATGCAGAAAATCATAATATCCTACCAGGGGTTTTTGAGGAGTGAATGAGATAATATATGTGCAGGGCCTGTTAATTAGTTCTTATAAATTGTATCTAAACTTAGAGTGAGATGGTTAAGAGCTCCTGACTTACTGAAGCAATTTCAGGTCTATGGTGATGGCAAAAGGTAGATTCTAGTGTGTGTTCGGGGTCGGGGAGGGAGACTGTAGGGAAAAAAATTAAGGGTGAAAGAGACTTGGGTAAGTTCTTAGGCTGGGAAGAAGGAGGGGCCCGCAAAGATGGAGAAGTTAAAGCTGGGAGAGTGAGGAGGTGACTGATGGAGCATGGTCCAGGAGGAGGTGGAAAGAAATACAAGGCTGATCATGGTAGGTGTTTCAGGTGAAGACTCAGAAATAGGACTTGGCAGTGTACACAGGCAGTATAGTTAACAGGAAAGGATATTCCTTGAGACGAGGCCGATCTGGGTTCTAATCCCATAATTTACTAGCTACAACAAACATTTGTATGCTTTTTAGCTGTCACGTAACAAAAAAATCTAGACAAGGAGCAATCAATGGTTTATCATCTCAAACTCTAATACAGCATAAGCTCCCTAGGGTAGGAATTGTTTCTTACCCTATTATTCATCTGCAGCAACCGTGTTTGCATATTATGAATGAATTTAATTGTAATGAATTGAGAGTATTCAATACTATGTTTTCCAGGTAATATTTTCAATGACTCAAGCAATGTTTGTGAAAGTACTTTATACATTGTAAAACGCTACTCAGATGCTTCTGTGAGGTATTAACCTAAGTTATTTGTTTGGTCTTCCTGGATTTCACCTTTCTCTACACCCTATTAAAGCAGGCAATCCTGTGTTCACGCGGAGGAATGTGACTCTGCAGGGCCGACATTCAGCTGCTGCCACTCTGGCTGTTTATGGCTGGCGACTGTTCTGACTGGTGGTTGTGTCTGGTTTGATCGTCAGTGCTTGCATCATATTGGTTATTAAATATTTTGAGTATCATCAGTGTGGCTCTAGGAAATGAAGTCTAGACATACTCCAAGGAGGAAAGGGAAATGGGCCTCCACCATTATCATTTTTTAGAGAAGAAAGATGGGACCCAAAGAGGTTTAATAACTTGCTTAGGATCTTATAGTCAGTAAGTTGTGGGACTGGAATTAGAACCCAGATCAGCCTCCTACCAAGTCATATTCTTTCTTGTTTATTACACTGCCTGTATACACTGCCAAGACCTTTTTCTGAGTCTTCATTTGAAACACCATGATCAGCCTTGTACTCCTTTCCAACTCCTTCTGGACTGTGCACCATCAGTCATTGCCTTACTTTCCCAGCTTCAGCTTCTTCATCTTTACGGACCCCTCCTTCTTCCCTGCCTAAGAACTTACCCAAGTCTCTTTCACCCTTAGTTTTTTTCCTACCCCCCCAACCCCAACACTAGAATCTCCCTTCTGCCATCACCACACCCCTGAAACTGCTCCAGTAAGTCAGGTAGAGAGAACCTGAAGTCTTTGTAGACTGTATCTAAACGCTCGAGCCCTGGTTTGGGAAGAAGAGAAAAGAAAGAGGATTAGGATGTAGAAAAAGAGTCCTCTGGCATCAAAAAAGAAGAAAGAGAAGTTATCTGAGACTAGAGAGCCCCTAGTCTGGGGAGAACAGAGGAGTCTGGGGGTCCTGAAGCCAAGGACACCTCTGTCCTGCTTTCTGGACATGTAGCATGGAAGGCAGATGATTTCAGGGAGAGAAAAGCCATATGATATCTCTTAATATTCACGTCCATTAGCAGTCTTACAGGGACTCCTATATCCCCAGTTTGATACAGAAGTAGCAGATAAACTAGACCCAAAGAGCAATGTGAACAGGGTTGTAAGCATCCTTCAGCAGGGGCCCCTTGTGTACCAGTAATGAAGAATCAGACCTCCTTCTCGTGCCCACCACACAAATACCTTGGCACTACTTGAGAGTCTAGAACTGTGATATAATTTTGTGTGAGGTGTAGTAGGGTGGGGGGACTCCAAGAAGGACTGAGAGTCAGTTTCCCATTAGCCCAGTAGGATGGCAACCTGAAATAGAAATTAATTTGTTCCTAAAATAAAGTGATATTTCCTGTGCCCCTGAATTTATGATCGTGATTCATGCCTACAACCTTCTTTGCAATTTATAGCCCGACCTTTGTTTGCTTCATAATTGAATTTAGAACTGATTTTTTTCCAAAAGGAAATTTAGAGAACTAGAAATAACAAGTAGGAGAGAATATGGAGCACTTTTATGAGAATAATCCTTTAAGTGATAATACATACCTTCCCGTTATGCCCAGCTACAGTGTAAGTACTAATAGAGGAAAGGCTCTAGAATTAAAAGAGTTAAGTCCAAGAAAGAAAGAAATTCTGAGGATCAGAGATTTGCCTCAAGTAATGTAGCGGCCAGTGACAGAATTAACTTCTGACTTATGGCGCTTCCGTTTGTCTCTCTTCTCCTGCCATCTCCTCCACCACCCACATTTTGCCCAAATGTGAGTATGAAGAAAAGTTAAAACAAGTTCTAATTTTGTGTTTATTACTGGTCACATTTTATTTATGGTTCTAATTCAGAATATTATTCATATTTCCCCATCAAGAAATCAGATTTTATTTTGAAATAGTATACACAAAAAACGTTGAGACTTGTAGAAGCTCACTCTTGAACGTCCCTGGACATTGGTCAGAGGCTGATTGAGGGAAGGGCTGAAATTCTGGCTTTAGAGGATCATTGTGGTTCGGTATTGAGAAGATGGGAAAATTGGCTTCGGGCAGAGGAAGAACTTCACCTTTCTTTAGTGGAGGGAGTCGGTGAACATATCCAATTTGTTTCCAATGGAAGGGAAAGTGTCGTTTACCTGGACCTCTTTCTTCTGAGTGCCTAGGTGGTGGGCCATGGCCCAAGCGATGATGATCTTGGGGACCTTGGCTATTGGGTGGTGGGTCACATGGTCCATGGTCATGGAAATCATGGCCATGGGGATGGTGTCTATGGGGAGGGGGTCCACGGGGAGGGGGTCCATGGGGATGGTGTCCATGGGGAGGGGGTCCATGGGGAGGGTCCAAGGGGAAGGGGTCCATCAGGGAGTGGGCCACGGGGAGGGGGTCCATCAGGAGGAGGTCCATGGGGAGGGGGTCCATGGGGACAGGGTCCAAGGGGAGGGGGTCCATGAGGAGGGTGTCTATGGGGAGGGGGTCCATGGGGAGGGTGTCCATGGGGATGGTGCTCACTGAAACTATGATTATGCTCATGCCGACCAGAGTGGAAGGGATGGCCAAAATGGCGTGGTCCATCATGGATGTTTCTATGCTCCTAGCAAAGGACACAGAAAAGTGAATATTATCAGGCAATACAAAAGAAGTTAGATGTTTAACTTGATTTAGACCAATGGCTTCCAGACTTTTGGATTCCACAAATCAACATTAAAAGCAGGAGTACCAAAAAAGAGTTCTCACATTTTGATCTAGCCGAGTTGACATTTAAAAATATAAACAACACCTATCATCTACCACCATCATTATTTCACAAAAGGAACAATATTTTGATAACATAGGAGTCAGAAAGATAATCTCAGAGTAAAGGATGGTCCTTTACATGGAATAAATGTTATATTATGAAAAACTGTCCTTACTATCCTTATTTTTCTTGTTTCAAAATAAAATGGTGAAATTATATTATGGAATAGCACTCACCTGTAGACCAACATTTGGAAAACTAGGGCCTTATAATTTATATGCTCAACAGAGTCTGAGGCTTTGTGCTATAAGCATCTCTTATTCCTAAAGGTTGAGCACTTCACCTCTTCACTCCCCTCCTTGTTTAGATTTTAATATTTTAAAAAATCTATGGAGCCATGTTCATGGTGACAAATATGCCCCCTTTTTTTGGTTTGGCACATGGATGTCTGGATTATTTTCAGTTTGTTTGCTGATATAAAAAAATACTGTGAAGAATATCTTGGTATAGAACAAAGCTTTCTGAGACAGATGTACCTAATAATAAAAGCTAGGAATTTTTAGGTCTCAGCACTAGAGTCCTGACTACAAGGGCCATTTTCAAATTCATTAAAGGTTGGTTAGTCATGATTTTACTCTTCTGCCAAATCTTACCCCTCCTCAATTCTAGAAAAATTTTTATACTTTTTTTGTCATACTAGAAATTTCACTCCTTTTTCCAGGGACCTACCGTCTGTATTTCTCCCCGATCCAGTCTCTTCTCTCTCTCCCTCCCTCTCTCTCTCTCTCACACACACACAGAACCACAAGAACAAAATACACCATGTGTGTGAAAAAAATGTCAAAAGATGACAAAGGCTACTTAGGCAACCCACCTCAAGGTTGAAGACTTTACAGTTTACTACAATGTCTTTTGGGATTTCCAAGGCAGAGACTCCTACATCATAGGACAAATCTGCTCTGCAGAATCCAAAGACCTATAAAGAAGAGAGAGGCCTGTTAATGTGTGTGTGTGTGTGTGTGTGTGCGTGGCAGATGGTATGAAGGTGCCCAGCTAGAGTTATAAACTTCCAGACATTTGGGAAAGGAAGAAGAGCTTTAGAAAAATCAGGGTAGTATTATCAAATATCTCCACCAGATATTTAACAATCTTTCCTAGTCAACACTTTTGGGAAAATGCAGGTTCTGAAGCGTTTCATTACAAGTTGCTGTGATTCTCCTTCCCGAGCCGTCACCAGGATTGGGCTTCCCCATGGGGGGTAGTGAGGAATACCACCTCATCAGGTGCTTGCCTTTAGGCCAACCTTTCTTCACTGAAGACCTGAGTTATCTGTGCCCAGACAGAAGGAAGAGCTGCATAGAAGAGGATTTGCACAACTTTAACCAGTTCTTTGGAGGAAAGTATTGGAAAGTAGGGAGCTAGGATAAAGACGGTTTGCAATGACCTGTCAAAGTGACTGTCGGCTGGCCATACCCTAAGTATAGGGGCTGTGACTGGCTTGCAAACCTATGCCCCAGAAGGCCCTAAACCCAGCTATCAAAGTTAGACTAGGACAAGAAAAAAACTCCTTTCTGGAAGAGATTGTTAGCATTGAGGTTCTGAGTACAGTTTTGGAGCCTGACAGACCTATGTTAATCCTGGTTTCACCATTTAGTGGTTACATGTTTAGGCAAGTTAAAATTTCTAAAATTTCTGAAACTCAGTCTTTATCTGTAAAACGGGTGTGACACTATCTACCCACAGGTTGTGGGATGGCTTAATTAAATGAGATAATGCTGTGAAACACTTAGCACTAAGAGGCCTCTTCTCCAGCCACCATGTTTCTGCACTGGGTTTTCATTACCCATGCAAAGATATGTAAAGGTATGATGGGGATGGGAAAGGTGGAGGGAGGCATCTTTTGTGGTGGCAACTTAAGCAGGATTCTAGAACTGCTTCAGATTGCAAAGTTGAACAGCCAGAAAAGGAGCTAATGAATGCTTCCTCTCTTCCAGTCCTGAAGAATGTGTTGTCAAACCTCAGAAAAATCCTGGACCTGAAATCAGAAGGCCACCATTAAGATCCTGCATCCTAACACTTCCTAGCTATGTGCCCTTAGGCAAGTGGTTAAACTTCTAGGCCCTCCTGTCCCAGGGAAATGGGGACAGACACTTGCTTCTCCTCAGTGGGGTTGTCATAGGGCTCCAACAAGGCAGTAATACATGTGAATGCGTTTCGTAAACTATGACCATACAAATGCTGAGTATTATTAAGATCTTATTGCAGGTTCATGAGTATCAATTTATAAATGATTAGGGGAAAATCCCACCGGGCTGAGCACAGGAGAAATGCGTTCTAATCTCAGCTTCGTTGTGAACACTGGGCAAGAGCCCTTACTTTGCTGAGCCTCAGTTCCCTCCCCATTTGTCACATGAGGTCACTGAGAGGAGTAAATGAGATGAAGCAAATGAAAGCACCCATGGGTGTAGGTTCTTAGTATGAATGGGTTATTAGTTTTAGCAAAGTCTTTAATCATAATGGGTTTAGAAACTTAGTTTTAAGTTGAGGTATATATCATGTATATTATCAAATAATTTTCTCGTGATTCACTTAACTTTTCTGTGCCTCAGTTTCCCCATCTGTAAATCAGGGATAAAAATAGTATCTACCTCATAGAGTGGTGGTGGGGTTAATAAGTTAACATAAGTGTAAAGCACTTACAAGTGTTCCTGGCACACAGTAAGCACTCTCTAAACGTTACCTAGTGTTTCACAGACATTCATAGTGCTCACCTTGGACGGTCTGCGAGAATGGCGACTGGAGCAGTTCCTCACAGAGAAGTCCAAATAGTACTTGGTTCTTTCCCCTCCTCTCTGGAACAAAGTAGATCAAACCAGTTTCAGGAACATAAAAAGTAGGGAAAAAATTCGGAAAATAGATACCTACTATCCAATATACTGTAAGTACTGTGAGGATTCAAAATCACCAATATGTGCCATTTTTCTTATGGTGTCTGCCTTTTAAAAATTTGTTATGTAAGTGATAAAGTGAATACTATTTCATTGAAAAGGTTCAAATAATACTGACATCAACAAGCATAGTGAAAAATCACCCTTCCTGCACCCCAACCTCTCTGAGGTACCACTATCATCCATTTGATGTGTTTCTCCTTCTAGTCTTTTCCTATATATGTTGCACATATACACATATATCTGATTATTTAACATGAGTGGGCTCATAGACTAAGTATTGTTCTGTAACTTGCTTTTCCCCTCAGCAACATGTTGTGAAACTCTTTCCAATGCATATCGGTTCAAAACATTCTTTTTAGTAACTGTGTTGCATTTACTCCATTGTTTGTATGCACCATAATCTATTTAACTTTGCATTTTCAAAATGCATGATACACATCAACTAGCTGCTCTACAAGACCACTCTGGGTGGGAGGTGCTTGGGTCCTTGGACTGGGAGGTAGGAAAACTGTCTAGCTCCTGCCACACTGCTGGGTGTGGTGAGGTAGTTTCTCTGAGCCTCAGCTTCCCATCATAATACAAAGAAGTTGGGACCAGATGATTTTTTTTTTCTTGCTGAGGAAGATTCGCCCTGAGCTAACATCTTTGCCAATCTTCCTCTATTTTTTATGTGGGTCACCGCCTCAGCATGGCCACTGACCAGTGGTGTAAATCTACACCTGGGAACAGAACCCGGGCCACTGAAGTGGAGCATGCTGAACTTAACCACTAGGTCACAGGGCTGGCCCCAGGACCAGATGATATTGAATGATTCACATAACCCTAATATGTTCTTCTGTCTTTCCCTCTTTCCTGTTTGGGGTTTTCCCTCCCTTCTGTCAGACATTCACCCTTCCTACTACTCCAAAAAATAAAAAACTGCAGTATGGTAGTTCTTTGGTATTTGCTGCCTGTCTGTTTAAGCTGCAACAGGGATCTCAATTTGAAAGGTAGCTGGCCAAGTGAGGTTGGTGGAGAGGGATGGTGCCGCTGAGTTTGCACCTGCCTGGTTGGAGCCTGGGCTCTTGGACACTAGCTGGATATGAGTAGAGACTCACCGCTCTTGCTACTCTCTCCACTTTGTCCACTCTGAAAGAGGCAAAATCATCATTCTCTCTCTTGTACTTCTCAAGGGCTCTGTCAGCTAGTTGTCTGTAGAGCTCGGTATCCTCAAAGAAATCAAAGAGTACGGGGCTGTCTTTGGTATTGGCCAGCGCTGAAGAGACTGGAGAAAGAAGATGGCGGCTTTGCAGTTACTGGTTTGGAAACAGCAGCGTTAATGCTGGAACTTAATACGTATAAGCATGGTGGCAAGAATAACAGCAGCTTCCATTTTGCAGATGGGCATATCAAGAATTGGAGAAGCTAAGTAACTCATTCAAGATTGAATCAGCCAATCAACAGCAGAGCCAAACGTAAACCCAGATCCTTCTGATCTTCAAGTCTCTGTTGTGACCTCTATTAATAATGCCCTCCCATCACTCATAAAGTGTTGATATTTTAGTGAACTCTTCCTGTCTCTGGCAAAGAGGGAGAGACATCCTTAACATAAAGTTTTGCTCAGAGAAAGGAGAAGATACGGCTCAATTTTTCCTTAAGGCGACCTCCTGAATGAGTTGCTTGACTGTTGAATTTTTGTATATTGAATCATGTTGAGACTTGCTATTTTTAAAGCAACTCTGTAATCATTCTTTTTGAAAAAGTAAGTAAAAGAACATGGGATTTAGAATCATCCCTGGTAGGATAGGGTCATGTCTTCCCCACATTTTGCCTGTGTTCTCAAGGCCAAATTATTGAGCCTCTTTTAGCTCAGTTATTTTATCTCTAAAATAGAAAGTATCGTAATCTTTACCTCATGGTCTTGTTGTGAAATTAAATGAGGTAACATATGTATAATTGCTTTGCAAACTGCAGAGTAATAAACAACTTTTAGATGTTGACGTCAATATTTGCTGAGTGCCAAGTGCTTTGCAAAGTATATTACAGAGACCACCTTATTTAATTCTAACAAAGACCTGAAGGGCTAATACTATTGCTATCCTCATTTCACCAAAGAGGAAAGCTTAAAGAGGTTAAGTAATTGCCCTCGAGACCACACAACTAGGAAGTAATGAGCTTGGGGTTCAAACTCAAGCAAATCTGACCCCAGAGCCCATGTTCTAAACAATGATGCTATTCTGCCTCTCATAGATTTCTATTTTTATATATTGAATTTCTTTAAAGGAAGGTGCATGAATAACAGGGGAAAACTCTCTCCTTTCTCTTCTCAAGAGAGTAAGTAATAATCAAGTCCATGAAGGCAGGGACCATTTCTGATATGTACATCTATAGTATTATATGATAAATACCACCGCGAGATTGAATTTTATATTAATCTAGAATTAAGTAGCATTTTAACAGATTACCATACCGGAACTTGTGGTGCAGTTAAAGTCTTTCACTCTAAGATCCTGAGATTCATTCAAATATGTTATTGCTAATACCTTGCATTGTCCGATCACCTGTAAGAAAGAGGTGTTTGTGTCATTGCATACTGCTTTCCTCAGGTTGAATAGGAGGGAATAAAAAAGTAAAGTGAGACAACATACTCTTACTATCAGTTTAAAATTTATTTGTTGTTTCTATCACGAAATCCTCTCTCAAAACCTGTATTTTCTTAGTCTGTTTCTGTGTGCTGGATGCTATAGGCATCTAAAACCCTCATGAGAACCAGGAAGAAACTACTTAAATGGATCATGACCATATCCCAAACATATTCAAGGAGAAAAATGCTAAAACTCCTAGATATGTAAACATGTTATTTTCTGGAACTGAAATCTTCTGTCTGTGCTTACTCATCTTTGTTTTCTCCTCCCGTGGCAGAGAGCCTGGGATCTGAGTACTCAAATGCAATGTGCAGAAGAAGGCCCTATTCCTTACGGTACCTCCAACTAAACCCTCCGGCCATTCCTGCTACCAGCCTTTATAGGACACAATTACAAGTCCACAGGTTCTCAGACTCATAGACTGTAAGGACCAGAAAGGGCCTTAGAGTTCATCTGCTCTCAATGCCTCCTTTTATTTTACAGATGAGGAGACAAAGTCTGGTGATGTTAGGTGATTTGCCCAAGGTCTCACAACTGGTCATGCTATCTCATAGGAGCACAAGCCCCACTGACTTATCTTGAACTGGGTTCCCAGGTATGGCTCTGAAGAGAATGTCACTCAAGGTCAACATAGTCTTCATGAGTCAAGAGGCAGAAGCTGCTCTTACTCTTCTACTGTGTTAGCCTAGGCATGTGGCTACCCATGGTAAGCAGAGTCGACAGAAGTCAAGAATGCTAAGAGGAGGGGAATGGTACCCTGTTTACTTACTATATCAGATGGCCGTCTAGAAACAGCTGGCTCACAGTCTTCCCCGTGTTTCTTATATAGCACCGGACAGTCAGATTCTTCCACATCTAGGACTAAATAATAGACAGCTGCGGATTCCTAAGGAAAGCCAAGAAAGCAGCAGGTGAGTAGCATGCGGGAGCCCAGTGCATTTTCAATAAAAACAATCTCTTTATTTCTTAAACAGAATTCCTGGTTTTCTCCAAATCATTGCAGATGTCCTACCTTTGTGTCATTTGATCTATTTATTTGAATAAATAGCTTCAAAGAGTTACTTCCAAATATTCTGTTTAACAGTTTGTGATGTTGCTCCTGCCCATGAGCTTTAAAAAGCAATCACTAAATAGCAGTGTTGGTTTGGGTGGAGGTGTTGAAGGTGCAAGCCTAGAATTCTAAGTGATGACAGTCACATAATGGCCTCCAATCTGTATATGTAGTTGTGTTGTCTCCCCCAGCTCTATTCCTGCACTTGGATTTCTTGTCTTGATTTCCACTTGACCAAAGCTAAGATCACCCTCTTTTATTGCAACTTCCCCTCTCTCAACTTCCCTTGTCTTTTGTCAGCAGCATCATTAACTATTTGTTGCCTTAGTCTTTGGCTTAAAAATGTGACATCAACTTTGATTTCTTCCTTTTCTTTGCTTTTACTATTCAGTCAGCAGGCCTTGAATGGTCTTCCTTTGAAATGTCTCATGTGGTTTCTTCATCCTTATTGCCCTGTGTCCCATTGCCTGGGTCTGATCTTCATTTCCTTATTCCTGAACTAGCTTCCTAGTTCACATCCCTGTCAGTTGCATCCATCTCTCCAGGGACGCTGTGCCCGCTTCCAACACACCCCTCCACTTTCTGTACTACCACTGGGAAGTAGCACTGTGCCGATTCATCCTGTGTCCTACCCACGTGGCAGAGAGCCTGGAATGGGACTAATGATCACTAAATTGCTGGTTGAATCCTAAATTCCTGCACTCTCGTTCTCTGTAACCTGTGGTGCCTCATGTCTAATACTTTAACAACTATCATTTTCTCTGCTTGTCCTCTGTGGTACTCCGTGGTCTGGCCTCCCTGATTCAGTGGGTCCAGCACAGGGTAAGTTATTTTTTGGAGGGTGGGGAGGGAGGCCTCCGTCCATAATCTCTACAAGCCCTCAAATCCATTCCAAGTAAGCATAGAATCTAAGTGAAGACAGTAGGCTTGCTTTGCTTCAAGACAAACCTACTGTCTCTCTTTCAAGCTGATGGCTTCTCCAAAGCTCACACAGATCTTTTGGAACCTCTCTGCTTATGTTCAGTTACTCGCTGATACCTTCCTTCCTGATTCCCTTCCCCCATAGAGGTGGTATGCCTGGAATTCTCCTGGAATGCTTTTAACCCGGGTCACCTTCCTCTTCAAATCCTGTTCACTCTTCAGGACCCCAATGAAGCCTCCTCCCATTCAATCTTAATCAATCTCCTTTCATTAGATTGCTCCAGCATCTATACCACGCACTTGGTCACTTGAGTACATCTTATCTTACAGTTTGCCCATGTGTGCATGCGAGCTGATTACTATTTCCTTGAGGGCAAGGCCCGCAGCTCATTCTAATTTTTCTCTTACACTACTTAGCATTTGATTGTGCTCTGCACACATGCTTATAGATTGATTCATAGTTGAGTATATACTAATAACAAACATTAATTTGAAGGAAAAGAGAACAGTCTAGAGCAGCAGCAGAAACTAAACAGAAAACCCTGATCAAAGCCATTCTGTTGTGCAAAACAGTAGGCTTAGGGGCCAGAGTCACACTGGTCCCTGGTGCATGGTCTCCTGACTGAGCTCTGGCACGAGCAATTCCTCACCGCTTTGTCCACGTGGGCATCAGCAATCCGCACCAACTCGAAAAGGTAGCCATTCCATCGTCTTTTATTGATCTGGTCTAGAGCTGTCTTAGCCACGGACTCAGTTTCATCGCAGTTCAGGGGACTCACAGCAAAGGAGGCCCGCAGCGTGAGCAAAAGGGTCCAAAGCAGGGCTGCAGTGCACGCCTTCATTGTGTTACAATGTACAAACCATCCCTCGCTGTGATGTACCACAGCAGAGACTTCTATACAGACCTTCTAAAACACACACGCTATTGATTAGACAAAGTTTTTATACAGGTTTGTTGTGTAACCGGGGATGTTCACCTTGACCCCTGGTTAAAAGGTCTGTCAACACGCTGTAAATGATTAGTAAGTCCCAGGGACAGAGAGTTGAGACACGCCACTGGTGAGTGGTAAAACTGTGGGTTGCACAAATCTGGATATTTCTAGTAGGTGGTAGATCCAGAGTGCGTTTTTGACCATGACCCCTACCTACATTGGTGTGGGGAAACAGGTTAGAAGTAAAGTAATTTTCCTCCATCTGCCTCCCCATCACTGTCAGATATTTCCACCATCACCCCCTCTTTGGATGACTGCTAACAGTCCTCAGTAGAATGCAGCCGCATTATTGAAGGGCAGTAACATATTAAAAGTTTAACACCAGGAAAGGAACTGAGTTCACGTAAAATGGAATGATTAAGAGGCTGTTGCTTTGGAGTCAGATCTGAGTTTCAGCCCTGCTCTGTTACTGTCTTACTGTGTGATGCTGAGTAAGCTATAAAACTTCTCCGATTCTTGGTTTCCTCACTTATAAAATGGGGATTAATAACTCTTGGCAGTATTGAGTGATAATAAGAAAACACATATAAAGCAACCAGTGCAATTCTTGGCAGAGACTCAGGTGCTGTATAAATGATGCTATTGATTATCATTGTTATTGTTGTTATTATTATTATGTGTGCCTGGGAAGAAGTTGGGGCCCCTCATATCATTCCAGTTCTCTGTGGCCCTTAAAGCGTACCAAAGAGAATTGGTTCATGTGGAAGAGAACCATGGTAAGGGTAGGAGTAAAGCCATTTGATGCCTATCCCAGAGAAGGGCTTAGAGGGAGCATGTCATTGGGAGAGGGGCTCAGCATTGGTGGACAGAGCTGAGATTAAGCTGATCCCCAGCCCCACCCCTCCAAAGAAACCAATATACTTATATGGGCCCTTTGTATCAGCAGAGCCCGGCAGCATCGGACAGAACCAGCGGGAATGAGCCTAGATTCCTTCCCCACTAACCAGTCACTTAAATAACATCTCCCTTCCTTCCTGCTCTCTTCTCTGCAGTGAGTGTGTGTAAGGGTCTACAGCAACGGTTCTCAGCCGTGGCTTCATACTAGAATCACCCAAGGAGCTCTTAAAAATCCTTATGTCCAGGCTTTCCCCCAGAGCAATTAGATCAGGATCTCTGGGGGTGAACCTAAGTATCGGTAGTTTGAAAATTCCCAGATGATTCTAATGTGCAGTCAAGGTTGAGAACTACTGGGGCTCCAGACAGATCTGAAGGGAGGGGAAGAGTCTGCGGAGAGAGGGAAAGGGGAGGGGTATGTGAAAAGCAGACCTCACCTCCCAGAGTCACAGATTGGTTTAGCAAGCGCTAAAAGTGGAAGAAACACATTTTGAATTATGTTTGAGGTTGAACTTTTAATATTATTAACAACACTAGCTTTTAAATACCCAAATGGGACCACTCCAGTGTAACTCAGAATGCAGCAATAGTATAGACTCTGGTCAGGGTGTTATTAAGAGGCTCCAACCCAGGAGCTATTGATTAAAACAAAAACTGTTTTATGTTTCAATGAGTCGAGCTCCTTAATTAAGCCTTTCTATTGTTGCTATATTGGCCACACCCAATAGGGAGTGCAGTGGGCAAGCCAAATGCTGATGGCGTGAAAGGGAAGGGGCTGGGTAAAGGGACCAAGGTTGAGAATCAGCTTGTCCTACAGTACTGTTTTGCTGAGACTCAGGGGGTACTCACAAGAGCCATGCATTCTCTTCCCCTTGCTTTATTGAATCTTTTTTTCTTCTTCTTCTCCCCATAAGCTCCCCTGTACATAGTTGTGCTATGTGGGACGCAGCCTCAGCATGGCCTGATGAGTGGTGCCATGTCCGCACCCAGGATCCGAACCGGCAAAACCCTGGGCCGACAAAGAGGAGTGCACGAACTTAACAATGTGGCCACCGGGCCGGCCCCTATTGAATCTTGAATATAGACAAAATGCTAGTGATGCCATTCTGTTAACTGGGGTAGCTTCAGGTGAACATCTTAGGAAGCAGATGGCACGTGCTAGGGTGGCAATGGTCAGGAGCCGGAATGATGGTGAGTAGGGGAGATAGTTGTCCTGGGGAACTGTCTCCTGATCTAGGAAGTGACATTTAGCTTTGGTGAAGCTTCTTACTGGCTTTGGGAAACTTCCTGACAGTCCTGAGCTGGAGAACAGCCTCAGATGTGGAACTGAGAGGGAAGGGTGACTTTTCACAATGCGTCGATAGATCTACACCTCTCCCTACTCACTCCAGCATTCAGGCTCTTCCTGGGCAGCCTGGCCACAGTATCAGAAAAATTCACTTAATAGAATTTCTGTTATTTAAAACATTTTTTCTCATAATAGAACACATTCTCTTTCCAAAAAATGTGGAAAATACAAAAAGTATAAAGGAAAATTCATCTAATTCCACTACCTGAGTGAAATCATTGACTACTATCTATTTCTTCATAGACTTTTTTCTACTTGAATATCTGTAATATATATGTTTTTACATTATTGGAATTATTCTATACATACAGGCATTTTTTTCCCTCTGCTGTGGTTGAGAATTTACTTACTCACAACCTCTAAATTTGGGGAGCATTAAAAGAAGCCATGTAAGCTTTATAAATATTGGGTTTCTGTGGGTTTTTTGGTGAGGAAGATCGGCCCTGAGCTAACATCTGTTGCCTATATTCCTCTTTTTGCTTAAGGGAGATTGTAGCTGAACTAATATCTGTGCCACTCCTCCTCTATTTTTTTGTGTGTGGGAGTCCACCACAGCATGGCTTGATGAGTGGTGCGTAGGTCCGCACCTGGGATCTGAACCAATGAACCCCAGGCCGCTGAAGCAGAGCGCATGAACTTAATCACTACGCCACTCGGCTGGTGCCTGTTTTTGTTTTTTTAAAATAAAATTTTATTTTTTATTTGAGTTATTTTAATTATACAATTTTTAGTCACAAATATAATCCCTGAATAAAGAAAAAAAAACCCAGAAAATTACAGAATATATAAAATAAAAATTACATCTCTCTCCCTTATCCCACATCCTCCAAACCCTTTCCCAAGGGAAGGACTTTTAACAAGTTCTTGTTATATATGGTTTAAACATTGTATTTTCCTTTAAGGTTATACCATGAGGAATTTCCCAAATCATTAAGTATTTTTCAGAAAGATTATTTTCAGAGATCATGTGATATTGTATGTTATTTATGTCTGTAATACATTAATCCTCCCCCATGTTTTGGCCATGTATGTTGTTTCCAAGTATTTGTTCTTGTAAGTAATGCTACAAGGTACATCCTCGTAAATTTCTGGTTCCTTTGGAAATCTCTGGATCGGTTGACAGAATTTTATAACATTTAGCTTTTTATAATAAAAGGCACTTTTTAAAAAAAGAAGATTCCCATATACTTCCTGCCCACTCTCCCCACATGTACAGCTTCCCTAACTATCAACATTCGCACCAGAATGGTACATTTGCTATAATTCATGAACCTACATTGACGTACCATTATCACCCACAGTCCAAAGTTCATGTTACAGTTCACTCTTGGTGTTGTACATTCTATGGGTTTGGACAAATGTATAAAGACCTGTATCCATCATTATAGAACCATACAGAATGGTTTCACTGCCCTAAAATGTTCATCCCTCCCTTCCCCCAATCCCTGGCACCCACCGATCTTTTTACAGTTTCTGTAGTTTTGCCTTTTCCAGAATGTCAGGTGTTTGGAATCACAGAATATGCAGCCTTTTCAGATTGGCTTCTTTCACTTAGCGATATGCATGTGAGGTTCCTCCATGTCTTTTCATGGTTTGATAGCTTATTTGCTTTTAGCACTGAATAATATTGCACTGTCGGTACATACCACGGTTTATCCACTCAATTACAGAAAGACAACTTGGTTGCTTCTAAGTTTTGGCAATTATGAGTAGAGCAGCTATAAGCATTCATGTACAAGTCTTTATGTGGACATAATTTTTCAATTCATTTGGGTAGATACTAAGGAGCATGATTGCTGGATCATATGATAAGAGTATGTTAGTTTTGTAAGAAATTTCCAAACTGTCCTCAAAAGTGGCTGTACCATTTTGCATTCCCAACAGCAACAAATGAGAGTTCCTGTTGCTCCACATTCTTGCCAGCTTTCAGTATTGTCAGCGTTCCAGATTTTGGCCATTCTAATAGGGGTGTAGCAGTATCTCGGTTTTTTCTTTCTTTTATTTTTGGTGAGGAAGATTGGCCCTGAGCTAACATCTGTTGCCAATCTTCCTCTGTTTTGTATGTGGGACGCCACCATAGCATGGCTTGATGAGCAGTGTGTAAGTCCACACCCAGGATCCCAACCCGCGAACCCTGGACTGCCAAAGCAAAGTGTGCGAACTTAACCACTATGCCACCAGGCCAGCCCCATCTCACTGTTGTTTTAATTTTCAATTCCCTAAAGACATTTGATGGGCACATCTTTTCATATGCTTATTTGCCATCATATATCTTTTCTTTGGTGAGGTGTCTGTTCAAATCCTTAACCCATTTTTAAAATGGGTCATTCATTTTCTTATTGTTTAAGGAGATATTTTTAAAGATTCATTAAAGAGAACTCTTAATACCACGTAAAAAGAAATGCCCAACTCTTGAAGTTGCAGCATAGAAGATTAATGTTTGCAATTTGCAAAGCACTGAGTATTTGCATACAAAGGCCTCAAATGATTAATTATTGCAGTATGTTGAGACTATTCTCAAGACTATTGGATTAGCCTGCCTGCATGCAGTTTGCAGAGTAAGAAATGAAGATTCAGAATCAAAAGCTGGAGAAACAACATCTAAGAGAAGAGCCAAATAGGAATGTGAATGCCTTAGGGGAAGTCATCAGAAGGGTAGGAGAAGGACCTGGAAGATGTAGGACAAAGTCTACTTGAGAAAGTGTGAAGAAAGAGCAAGAGTCCGTACTGCCAGATGCTTGAAAGAGGATAAGTAAATGTGAACAGTGGGGCTGGCCCCATGGTGTAAAGTGGCTAAGTGGCTAAGTTTGTGTGCTCCCCTTTGGCGCCCTGGGGTTCACAGGTTTGGATCCCAGATGTGGACCTACACACTGCTCAGCAAGCCATGCTGTGGTGGCATCCCACATACAAAATAGAGGAAGACTGGCATAGATGTTAGCTCGGGGACAATCTTCCTCAAGCAAAAAAAGGAAGATTGGCAATGGATGTTAGCTCAGGGCCAATCTTCCTCACTAAAAAAAAAAAAGTGAAGGGAGATGCTTCCTTTGATTTAATAACATCAACTCAGCAACTGTCCAGTCAAACCTACTTTTCATCCTGCATCCCGTCTCTCTGCTGATGGGCCTTGGTCAATCCAACAAAGGACCCAAAGAGAGGGACACAATATCTAGGATCCTTCCTCACCATTCTTTCAGTATAGGAGGGTGTTATGGAACTCCCTTGGGAAAATCTCCTACATTGGATTGGAAATGGTTTTCCTCTGTTCACCATCAAGTCCCTCGTTTGCCTTTGTCTGCCTGGCTCTGTCTCAGGAGGCTGACTCATGTGGATTGACTAATCCAGGCTCCCCTGCTGTCTAGTTCACTATTGGGTTCAAAGAGTCAATGGGAGGAGGAGATCAGAGGGAGGGAGGGAGAAGTCAGGGTGTTTGTTCCTTGCTCCCTCTTGCTTCAGACCCTGGTTCTGGCAGTGGCTGCGTCCCTCCACCGGGGTAGCTCCTCCCAGGCGGCCCCTCCTCCACTGCTTCAGCCCATCCTGGCTTGGGGAGGCTGCTCCTCCCGCTGCCTTCTCAGGCTGAGACTGGTAAAGGCTTCCTGCTGTTGCTATTCGCCAGGTGCCTCAGTATCCCTTGTTGTTGCCTGCATTTGGCCCACAAAGCTTCACTCCCTTCGCTAAAGTCTTTTCAGTTGAACTGAATAAAATTGTGTTTCTTGCCAGACCACGATTGAAACAGGGTCTAAGATCACACATGACGCCCCCACTTAATCATTTTTCCTCCTTATGGGAAGCAGCTAAGAGTACTAGTGTGTGAATATTGTCTACAGCTGTTAAGCAAATTATGCCAAGGCCTATGTGCCTCTTTTAAGAAGGAGCTGCCAGGATGGAGGACAATAGTTATGTCTGCAAATTCCCTGTTGCATTGGTTTGCTAGGCTGCACAACAAAGTACCACAAATTGGGTGGCTTAAACAACAGAAATGAATTTTCTCACAATTCTGGAGGCTGGAATTTCGAAATCGAAGTGTCAACAGGGTTGGTTTCTCCTGAGGCCTCTCTCCTTGGCTTATAGATGGCCACCTTCTCTCTGTGTCTCCACATGGTCTCTCCTCTGTGCTCATCTGTGTCCTAACTCCTCTTATTATAAGGACACTGGCCATATTGGATTAAGGCCCACCCTGATGACTTCATTTTAACTTAATTACCTCTTTAAAGACCTCTCTCCAAATAGAGTCATATTCTGAGCTACTAGGGGTTAGGACTTCAACATATGAATTTTGGAGCAACACGATTTAGCCCATAACACTGGTCAAATTTCAAAAGATATCTGTGTGTGTGTGTATATGTATATATTACATATGTGTGTATATATTTCTATGTATATATGACTTAATATGTGTGTATACATATGCATACACATATGTATATATGTGTATATATACATATATATATATATATACACGTGTATATATACATATATATATATATACACACACACATAATTTTTAAGTGAAAAAAGTGGGAATGAATGTTCTCCAGGCCCTTAATTTCTGCTCTTACCAAAACTACTTAAAAAGCAAGAAAGTTCCCCAACTTGGAACAATGTCTGGTTCTCCCCAGGCTCAACCATGGGCCACAGGCAAATGTCTCTTCCATCTATGCCCATTGCTAAGTGAATTTTTCAGTTCTGGAGTACAGAGACTGTTTAGACAGGTAAGAAAAAAATTTTTCCCCTTCAGGTTGAAGGCTGTGCAGATGATATCTGACTAATCCTTGGTGTTGAAATCTTTATGGAGAGGGAAACTCTGTGATGAATCCTGGTCTCTTGGTAACCCGAAGGTTACCATTTAGGTTTTAGCTCATTCTGACCAAAAGAATCGCAGTATGCCGTTGCCCGGAAAGAGGAGGGGATTCCTAAGCATAGCAGGCCCTATGTCAGAGACACTTCGCTAAAAGAAAGTAACCGTTAGAAAGGGAGGGTGGAAGATACAAAAGGCATCTATCCTCGGTATGAGGCCTCGGACAGTTTAGGAGGGATGCAGTCCATGTATAAATGACAGTTTAGTCTCACTATTTCCACTTCCAGCCAACATGATGAGACCCAGGAGCCAAGAAGATACACTTTATTAGCTACTCTTTACATTTGAACTCTATGTCTGTCTCTCCCCCTTCCCCACCACCTCTCATTTCCTGCAGGGCACTGCATCCCCATGCAATCTTCTATGTGGTCTTCATGGTGGGAGAACCCAAGGGTTGTCCTCCTGGGCTGGTCCAGGGCACTCAGCAGAGCGTCGCTTTTGTTTGGGGAAGGGGAAGACAAACACCTTCTTCTCCCCAGGTGCCGCGAAGAGGAAGGAGACGTCCAGGGTTTCTCCGTGAGGATTCGTGGTTAGATCCAGATGCAGAGGGAAGGCCTCAACGGGGCCCTCTTCCTGGGAATCTTTGGGCTTCCCATCATCTAATTCAGGGAGGTGTTGGACAGATCCTTTCGGCACAGCTTTGGAGGGTGGGTTGGTGGGAGCTGTGTTTGTCTTCTGGGGCTCTTCCACCTTGGGAAGATTCACAAATGCCCAGTTAGCAGCAGAGTTTTCACCTCCGGGGGCAGGATCCTGATATAAGAACACTTTCAAATAAGGGGATGTTCCCCAGGGAAATCCCTGCCATGCCTGGTAGCAGACCAAGCTGTTCTATGCCTTTCAGATGGAATATTTCAAAGGGATGGGCCTCTGGCTAAAGGGTTAAAAAGCAAAAGAGATAAGGGCCAGGGAACAAAGACCCGTAGAGGCGTGATTGCAAGTCTCACAAATCCAGAGCTGAACAATGGTCCGGAGAGGTTAAAGGGCTTGTTCCAAGTCCTCAGTGAGCTGTCTCCCTGCCCCGGGAATGGCAGCAGGTGGCAGAGCAGACCTTGAACCCAGGTGGCCTGTTTCAACCACCCTCTCTAATATACCAGGCTGCCTCTTAAGAAGTGTTCAAGAAATACTTCCAGAAAGCGAGTAAATATTTCCATGGAAACTACTTCTACCTAGGGTTCAGGGTAAGGTCTCTGTGGGACCCTGAACTTAGCGTCCAGAGAGTTGACTTAAATGGGCTTTTGCTTTATTCTGCATGGCCATGCTCTGGTCTTCAGTCAGCCATGCGGTGGACCTGGCCCTGGAGCAGCCTGGCTAGAGGAGAATATCCGACTTGGAGAGAAAAAAGGGAGAGTGGGGCAGGAGCAGCTAAACGATAAACCATATTTCTTTTTCCTGTATAGAAAACCCACCAAAAGAGATTGAAAAATACCTGTGTTTCAAAGAATTTGCAGGACACTGAGACAATCTTTTCCAGTGGACTTCCAATCACAGAGCCTTTACAAATACCAACAGGCTGGAGTAAAAAAAATGTAAAGAAAACCACAAGATGTCACATGATTATTGAGATGCATCATGATTCTAATAGAAGAACAAGTTGCTTTCCAATTCTGTTGACACACAATTCACCAACACTTTTTTGGTTCCTTCAATGTATCAGGCGGTCACTGTAGCTCTCTTCTCTAGAGCCCTCCTACTGAGTCATTATCTAGACCAGGGTCAAATACTTCTGGTGCTGGAAAATTCATTCATCTTCGGAGAACTCTGATGTCTAGAAAATCCTTTGATTATCTTGCACTGACATCTACCTTTTCATAACGTCTACCTCTTGTTCCTGATTCTACATGTGGTGTCATCAGAAAAATTGATTGATTTTTTCTCATAGTGGCCTTTTATGTATTTAAAGACAGTTTTTCTCTCCTGCCTGAATTTTCCTTTCTCTAGTTAAAACCATTTCCAGGTGTTTCGATTCTTGTTTATTTAAAAATAAAGCAATTTAAAATAATAAATGTTCATTGTAGAAAATATAGAGATATAAGCAGAAAAGAAGAAAAAAATCATCCATAATGGTACCACTCAATGATAGCTACACTTAACCTTTTTATTTGTATCCTCTAAGTCTTTTTTTTAGGTATTTGTATTTTTTTCTTTCACAGAAACATGACTATATTATCAGATTGGCTTTTAAACCTTCTTATCATTTAATATATTGTGAAAATGTTTCCATGTCCTTGAATATTCTTCTATGATCTTATTTTTAAACACTAATATTCCACTGCATGAATGTACCATACTGTAAACAATTCTTTTTTTTAAACATTGGGTTATTGTTGTAATTATAAATGATGGTACAATGAACAAGCTTCTCGTGCATCCATGCTTATTTCCACAGAATAAATTCCCAGGAATGGACTTGTTATATCAGAGAATATATACATTTTTGAGTATAGCAGGATGTTAAATAGGACTTTTCCTGTTGTCTTAGAATTTTTGCTAAAACTCTAAAGCTCAGGAAAACAGGTGGTAAGTACTGTACATTTAAAAGAGCTCCTGTGGCCAACTAGGTCCTGCAGCTATCTCCCAGATGATATAAAAAGATTAGGAACCCCTTCCAGTGGGAAAGCTCATTGAAATAGAGAATCCTTGCTGAATAGTGCTATAGCTTTTCCTCTCTTTACCCCATCACCAAGTCCAGGTGAGGTGCTCTAAGAGATTCCCTTGGAGAAATTCAGGATGCAAGCAAAAAGTAGAGACTGGCCACTCCCTCCCTGGATGGGGCTTGTGAGCTGCTGCAACCAGCAGGCCCATCCAGTACTGGCACAGAACCCAACCCAGTGAGAATTTATGGGTGAGTTCGACATGTGTCCTCTGGTGTTTGGGAGCACATATGTCAATGGAGACTAATGTGCTGTCTACTTCTCTCTTAGAGACTTCTGAAGGGGAGTAACTGGCTGGAGCAGCCCACAATGGGAGGAAGAAGAGAAAGAGCAGAAGTCAGGCAGTCTGTTCTCACTTTTGGACTAGAAGGATGTGCAAGAGCTCCATGAGACAAGCGTCTTGGGTCTAAGGGGCAGCCTGCCGATCCCAGGTGCACATAAGAGCCTGTTGGTGGTGGCGAGGCCCAAGAGGCCAGGGAAGGACTTCCTGAAGGGCCCACATCTGTGCCCTGTTAGACAGCCTGGCAGTACTGGGGCCTGCCATATAGAAGGCATCAATGAGATGCCAGTGTTGGCAGGACCAGTTACATAAAAATACTTTGGGCTCCTTGTAGAGTCTCTCTACATTTTCATTGCCCTCCGTGACCACATTTTGCAATTGTACCACACTGTTGACCAGAATTGATTTGGGCTCAAAATTCATGTAGAGTTAAATAAATGTTAAGTGTTATATACTCTACCACTAATCCATATCTTTTCCTTCCAGCACTTGGGCAACAGATTAAGTCCTGAACTTGAAGATTTTCTTTCACTTACCCCTCTGACCTGGTGCACTCTCACACTGCACCCTACACTGAACATTCCATTCAGCCCAACCTTTCAAATGTCACTTCCTGCCAAGGTTTCTCTCTCCCACCTTTCAGTCATAAGGCCACATGGTATCAAAACAACTTCTTAAGAAAGTGGTGCTGAGGCATCTTGATCTTTTGCTTTCAGGGTCCTCTCGAGTGAGCGTGTCATGCACTGGATTCCTAGCAAATACTCAGTGCATTCCTGCCTCCGTTTGTACTCTTTCTGCCTCCTGGATTGCCCTCCTCTCTCCTTTCCCTACCCGTCCTTCAAGGTCCAGGTTAAGGTCTACCTTTTCTTCCATGACCAACACAGATTAGCATAATTTCCTCCTTTCAAATCTTAATGTATTGGGTACTGCGATACCATGTATTTTGGCCTTTAGAAATACTGTGGAGATCGTCTGTGGGCCTGAATCATGGCCAACCACACCTCAAGCTTCTTGAGGAAGATTTACAACACCTAGGATGCAGTTGGTGATCAAGAAATATTAATAGATGATCTATGACATATTTGTTGGACATATGAAGACATTCAGGAATACTTACCTCAGCATCAGGGAGCTGCAGTGGGCATTTGCTGGCAGCAGACTCAGTCTGAGATTTGGTACATGGTGACTCTGTGATTAAATATTCCACAAAGTAGGAAGGGCCAACCACCCACTGGGATGAGACAAGAATTGAGAAATAAAAATCAACCTACTTATGTGGGGGCAACAGAAACCTTACACGTCCAGAGTCTTTGTTAACACAGGTATCCTACTGTCCCTGTAACTCCCACCATGTATTAGGATTTTGTTAATTAGAAAATATAATTACCATACCTTCCTTCCCTTCTTAAACATTTGAATGGGTCCTAAACTCCTTCTCTTGGTTAGTGTTTTTCATTATGTGGAATTGTCTCTTAGATTAGTTTTTCTCTATATGATAGATATTGACATCATCCAAATACAAATAAGCTTCCATTTCTCTTAACCCATAAAACACAGCCTCTACTCGGGGCTTTAACATGGAGTAGAAGTTCAACTGACTGAGTAGTCCATGGTCCAGCAGACCTGAGAAGGCAGCAGTGAACAGCGAACCTAAGCAGAATTCCCCAAGGAGTCTACGAGTCCATTTCCCTTCTCACCTTAGGGCCAATGAAGTAAAATGGGGTCACATCACTCAGGTGGAAATTCCATGGAACAACTCAGAAACCAAAACATGATTGAATGTGCATCAGGTAATGAAAAAAAAGGCCCTTGAGTAGTAATCAGAAGGAGTGCCCTGACACTCTCCTCTCGGCTAAGGAATTGATAGCAGCAGTTTTGAGACACGTTGTTGATATAACCGGGCACTTTAGCCTCACCTGGAAAGAAGCCTTGATGACTTGGACGAGAGAATACCGCTTCGACGTGCTCTCACTGTTGTATTTTGCAAGAGACTCAAGGGCAGCTTCCAAAACACTAGCATCTGACAACTTAATGGGGCCGGGGCAGTCAGGGCAGGTATGGACAATCTTTCTTCGAGAAACTGTTGATGCCAAAAAGAGCAGTTCAAAAGTAAACCCCTTACTGATTTTCAACCCTATAAATCATATGACCACAACAGAGGCAGATTTAGAAAAAAGATAAATACTAAGCTTCAGTTGAGTATTGCGTGGATGGAACAGAAAAGATATTTTCTGGAAAGAAAGTTACTTTCTGCAACAAGTGTGTATTACTTTCATAATTAAAACAAAATCAAAGCAAGATGTTTTCACCTCACACAAATGTATTTACCATAGGAATTTTGTTCAGAAACACATAATAGTATATTGATATAAAAGTTTTTTCCCAATTAGCTCAATATCTCTCATCATCGTTGCCTCTGTAAAGCAGACTGAGTGTCTTAAAAGGTTGGGATTTCATTATTGTCACGTCTTCTTCACCTTTTAGTCCCCCACACCTGACAATGTCTAATGCTGTCTAATGCATGGTAAGCGCTTAGTAAATGCTTGTTGAATGACACATGGAAGGTGGAAGCACATCCTCTTTGGTTAGAAGATACAAGTGAGCCAGAAAACAAAAATTGGTCAAATCGTGGTGCAACTGGATAGAATACCCACAGTAAGAATATGTAACCACAGGCCCTCTAGGACCGGTTCAACGGACCCCATCTTATCAACAGAGTAATTAAGAGTTGTCTTTCAGGTACTGGGAGTCCCCCCTTGTCCATTTCAGGCCTGCTGAGACCATCAACCCATCAACTGGGCCTATGTAAATGCTCAACGTGACCGTTTTTTTTTTTTTTTTTTTTTGAGGAAGGTTAGCCCTGAGCTAACATCTGCTGCCAATCCTCCTCTTTTTGCTGAGGAATATTGGCCCTGAGCTAACATCTGTGCCCATCTTCCTCTGCTTTGTATGTGGGATGCTGCCTCAGCATGGCTTGATAAGTGGTGCGTAAGTCTGTGCCCAGGATCCAAACTGGTGAACCCTAGGCCGCTGAAGTGGAGCGCGTGAACTTAACCGCCACACCACTAGGCTGGCCCCAATAAGTGATCTTTTGGACATTAAGGAGCTAAAAAGTTCACCCTCAGATCATGGTAATGCCACCATTTTTGTGAACATGTGTCCTGTGAAGAGCCATGATGCTTGACTATGCTTGTGCCGATCATCAATTACCTCACTTCTCCTTACTTCCAATCATCTATCTTCACACTTCAGATCGCCCCGCCCTTCATCCTATAAATTGTGCCCCAAGCCCTGGATGAGGGAGACAGATCTGAGAGCATATGCCCCTGTCTCCTCACAGATCGATCTAGCAATAAAGCTGATTACTTTTCCCAAAAGCTGATGACATAATAACTGGCTTTGCGTGCGTTGGGCAAGAGAACCACAATTTTGTGTGGTAACAGGGACAGCCAGAATTCCTGACTGGGAGGAGCTGGGGGTGGCAAAACTGAAGTGAAAATCAGGCTAGGGGACTTGTCTAGAAGTTATTTTTGTAGAGCAAACACATTGTTTTGATCAACTGTGTATTTGGGTGTAGTACAGAGGAGTTACCCCCACAGCTTGTCACTCTTGGCGCCAGCTGACAGGTCACTTTCTGACCTCCCACACCTCTGGGACCTGTGATTTCCATTTAAGTTCTGATCTGTTTTACTTTTTGTTGTTCTCTACTTTATTTTAGGTGAGTCTCATCTTTACAACCAGGAAGCTTAAGCTGTGATTAATAAAATGTTTGCTCTGTTGCCTTGTCCCTCAAAGGAACTAGCAGCATTGTTATCACCTGGAGCTTGTTAGAAATGCAGAATCTCAGGCTCCGCTCCAGAGCTATAGAATTGGAATCTGCATTTGAACAAGGTCCACCAGGGAAGTCACAGGCACAAAACAGTTTGACGAGTAGCCTTATCCTATTTCCCATGCCATGAATGCTAGCTTTCCAAAGAAGGACCTAGAATGAAAGCATTTATTCATTTATTCAACCTTAGTATGGACTCCTTACACTTGATAGGAGGTTGTAGCAGGGAGGAAGAAGGGATAAAATGTTCTACATGATATAAGATACAAGACCCCAAATCAAGGCAGTGCATGTCTGTGCTTTATGAGCGGTTAGGCTAAAGTTTTATAGGAATGAGAACAGGAGAGCACCATTCCTTTCTGGAATAGAGAACATGGTGGAAGCAACGGCGTTGGCAATGGTCCTTAAAGAATGGATAAGAGTTCCAAGGGCAGAGGTTATTAGGGGAGGGCATCGTCAGCAGAGGAAGAGGCACGAGCAAGATGCAGAGATTGGAAAGTGCAATGTGTCTTCAGAAATTAATGAGGCATCCAGTTGAATGGAGTGCGGAGTTGGGGTAGCCAGAGAAATAATGGCAGAGATAGCTAGAAAGGGAGCCTGAAGACCTGTCGTAGAGATTACACCATTTATGTCACACTAAAAATTTAGGATTTGATGCAGTACACAATGGCAAGCTATTGCAGATCATTTAGGAAGCTTAATTGTGGGAAGCAGAGCAGTGCAAGTATTGGATATATTAAGAACCTGGCCTTGGTATGAATAGGAAGTGAGGATGGGAGAACCCTATAGGCTATACACTCTGGGCATAGCCCTGTTAATACTTTTTTCCCATTTTTTATTAAAATGAACAAAATCAGAGTGCTTTCTTACCTGGGCGAAGTGTACAGTTATAAGCAGGTGTATAGACAATTCTTGGCTGGTTAATATAAAATATCACTTTGCATTGACCATAAACCTGGAACCAACAAACACATATTACGACATAGTAGAACAAACTGTGACTTTTTAAAATACATCCCAAAATAAAATTGGACAATTTATTTTTATTTTTATATTTATTTATTTATTTGAGGAAGATTAGCCCTGAGCTAACATCTGCCACCAATCCTCCTCTTTTTGCTGAGGAAGACTGGCCCTGAGCTAACATCCATGCCCATGTTCCTCTACTTTATATGTGGGACACCTGCCACAATATGTCTTGACAAGCAGTGCCATGTCCGCAACCGGGATCCGAACTGGCGAACCCCAGGCCACCGAAGCGGAATGTACGAAATTAACTGCTGCACCACTGGGCCGGCCCTGACATTTTATTTTTACATAATAAAAAACTTAAGATCAATTTTGGTTACTGTGGATATGAGAAACTACCAGCTGATCATCACACAGTTTAACCTTCTCCCGGGACACAGCAGGACTACATTTCCCAGTCTCCCTCCTAGTTAGGTGTGCTGTGCATAACTCAGCCCTAACCCCAGGAAGGTGAGCAGAAGTGAGTGTAATCACTTCCAGGTCTGGCCCACAAAGATCTCCCATTTGCCATCTGTCCTCTATGCTTTTCTCTTTCTGTAGCTTGATGCAGATGAGCATGGTGACCATAGAGGCCGTGAGCTGAAGGCGGCAGAGTCTAGAGCCACAACACGGAAGGAACTTGGGTCTCTAAGTCACTCCTGGAGGAAAGTCCCTCTTGATCAGGAATTTCCATTTTGAATTTTACATGAGTGAGAAATAAACTTCTATATTGCCATCAGTACATACTTTCCAGTGTATGTGTTATAGCAGCTAGTGTCACCTTTATAAGTGTAATTCAAAACAGGGTAAAAAGACCATTTGCTTTTCAAAATCAGGTAGGTACAGTATGACAAATTTGGTTAAACGATTAGAGAAAGAGATCTTCGTCAAACAGCTTACTTCTACACACATATCACTGTATTAGACCTATCAAGTCTAATATCAGTCAACGCAAAGATTCCCCAAATAACTAAGAATGAAATGAAAACTGACCATATTAGTTTTACTCACCTCCTATGGTCATCGTTAAAGGGTCATTTCTGAGGTCCTTTAAGTTCTATATTTCAAGGGAAGTATTTTTCTTTCCATGACACATTTTAAACCTCTTATACTATAAATCATTCTCTGCAGGCCCATTAAAACAAAACAATACAAACGAAAAGTACTTCCTTCTGTTGCTTCTACACTCTACCTTAAACACAAACACAGAGTTCTCTACCTTCCATTCCTTTCTCACAATTTAGACACTGATATAACCCTACAGAAGAATTTGGGAGGTGGAAAACTGGACTCACCAAATAGTTTTTGAGTAACTTGGCAGTTCTGTTCTCCATGACCACAATGCTATTTCTGGAAACCCACCTGACAGGTGAAATTTTGTTCTGTCTATAGCATTAGAATAACCTCATGGGTACCATGCCCAGGAGACTATAAAGAGGGACATGTAAAGATGGCGCATATTGAACAATCTGTATCCTGTAGACAGAGGCACCTAGTTTCTCCCCCAGAGCCCCGGAAACAAGCACTTACTGTATCATGTGGGAACTTCACTCCACATTCCTTCCATGGCTTCTTGGTGAGCACATGGCAGTCAGTCTCTAACACGTCCAGAGTGAGATAGAACACTGATCCCAGATCACCCTGTGGGAAGGGGCGGAGAAATGCACCACATCTCACATGAAGCAGAAACCCCTAAAGACTGGCTGAAAAAGTCTCTGTTTTATGGCAGAGCCAAAGGATATCATGTTTGTGAAGATTTCTCATAAACTGTGGAACACTCGACAAGTGTCAGAGTAGGATACTATTAGCATTTGTTCCTAATAACAATAAGAGCACATAGCACACCCTGGCTGAGCAAAGCACAGCATCCTCGGCAGGGTTTCCAATCTGGAAAGCACCTGCCAACATGTGTCTCTGGGTTCCCAACCCCTGGCTTCCACAGCTTGTGCAAAGGTCACTTGCCTGTCTGTGTTCGTAGACATTGCTCACTCGGTTGAGACTCAGCACAAAGCCTTTTCTTTGGTCCCTGTTGATGTCCTGCAGGGCGAGGTCCGAGGCTGCCAGCACATCTGAGTCATTGCAGCCTCGGGGGAAGAGAGGTGGGGGCCCAGGTGGGGATCTCGCCCCACAGCATACGGCCAGGGTACAGAGTACCAGGGGTAGCAGCAGATCCATTCTGTGGGGAGCAAGGCCCAGGATGGGGTCAGTATGTGGAGTTGCAGAGTCAGGGTTACTTATAGGGCTCTGTAAGGCTGATTTAAGCAGTTTCAGAATCGCAATCAGAACCGGTGACCAGAATCTGAAACATGATAGCCCATCTTATCTCTTTAAATTCTAAATTTGGATTTCCCTGAGTTAGTACTTTTGATGAGATTTGCCAACATTTGTAACCTTGGACCCCGAGCAACCTCACATTCATGTGTACATGTAAACAAATTTAGGTTTCCTAACCTTTTCCTAAGAACTCATAACAAACACTTGGGTCAAGGCTACTAGGAAGTCATGATTGGATTCTGCTGTGTGTCCAGTGCTCCACCGGAAGCAGAATGGCGGGGGCGAGGACTGTCACGTTCTCCCATCTCCCCTAGCACCTTCCCTCCAGCCGATATCTTTGGCCACACTAATAGTTACCACAGGCTGGCAGCCCGGGGTTTGGTCCCAGTGTTGCTTAGTGAGTTGAGACTTCCTGCCTGATCCCCGTGTGCATCGTTCTTGTTGGATCAGAACAAGTGGTATAATTTCACATCACCTGCAAGAAGCACCAGTGAGATTCCTAATGCACTTTGGGAACTGGTTAGAAAGTGTTCTATTTAGTCTTATTTAAGTTTTTTAAAACAAAGACTTCATTTAAATTTAGGAAAGTGAATGGTCCATCAATAGTTCTCACATCATATCCCAAATCTCCACTTCCTGCTATGGAGCTATTTGGAAAGAAATTTGTTGAGAGGCTACAACCCGATACTATTGTGAAGAGAGGGATAATGATTGGAAGGTGGGCAGGAATCCCAGTAAAACATTGGTAGAGACTCTTGCTTTTCTCTTTCATCTTCTGCTTGGGGTTCAGGAAGTTTCTACTGATTGGCAACATACAAAACACAAATATCTTCAAAGCTTTCTGTTAAAAAAAAATACACACATCAGAGGTAGTTTGTCATAAGAGAAAAGAACCAAGACAGAGGAAAGCGTCTAGATTAGGACATCACCCAAGGTATTCCACAGAACCCTAGTCCATAAGATTGCTTCCCTACCCGACTCTCCCCCATCCCTGCCTCCCACTCCCATCCTCAGTGTTCTGTGCTGAAAGAAGGTTAGAAGCTGCTGCATCCATTGACACACAGTTCTGTAGAGTCTCGACACACAGTCCTGTAGAGTCTCGACACACGTGAGCGTATCAAAGGCTCTCCGAATCTTTGAGGTGAGGAAACCTATATATTCCACAATTTCCTACACTTACTTGATATAAGAGAGGGTTTTTTTTTTTTAACACTTATTATTAACCCACAAAATACAGTTTTGGAATTGCTGTACGAATAGAGAAGGATAGCTATCTGAAGTTTTTGATAAGAAACTGTCAGAGGTATGAAGATTTTCACAGGAAGTATGCTCCAAATGCATTGAGAGAAATGTCCTTCTGGCCTGAGCCAAAATTCCAAGTGTGGCAAGGCACAGCTGACAACAGTAAACTAAACATAAGCAAGGCATCTATTACAGATATGTTTATTTAAAACTTTAATTTTACATTAAACAATGATTTTCATTGCTAGTTAGATTACTATAATCAGCTATTATGATACAATTTGAATTTTTATTAAAAAGTTGAGTGGAAAATATTTTTTCTCATTTGATAACCGTGCTCTCGGAGAGCTCTTAGCACTGTAGGTCACTCAGTGGTAGTATATAGACTCACTGAAAAGTACCCTGAATGGCAATTTAGTGAATCTAACCAGCACAATGCTCAGGAGAAAACTGAGATTTAGGAAGGCGGAGTGCCAAAACAAAAATCGTAAATGAATTAGGGGCAGAACCAGTACAGAAACCTTCTAGTTTAGAATTCTTTTCATGAAACCAAACATTATAGCAATAGCCTATTGTAACTCTTTTTAATTACCAACTGAAGGACCTTGGAAAGTCACTTAAGCCTCAGTAGCCAGATCTGTAAAATGGGCCAATCATAGCACCTGCATCCTAGGAGGTTCTATATGCATGGAGGGCTAGACCCTCTCTTGGCACACAGTGGTAGCTACTGTTATAAGTACAATCGTGATAGTTACTTGATATTCTACAGCACCTTATTGAACAACTCCACAAGGCCAGGAACTGTGTTAGGCTGTCTGGAAGCAAGGGTTCATAAGACTAAATTGATAAGATATAGTCCCTAATTTCTGCAAACAAATAAATAGTTTTCCAGGCTTGATTTTACAAACCCAAATCTAATGATCCCAGCTCCTCAGAGATGGCCGTTAGGTATGGTTTTCAACTAGGAGCAACAGTAGGAAAATGGGTCTGGCAACCAGAAGTGGGTACGGAAATGAGACATTCAAATTCTGGGGTCCAACAAAGATTTCCAGCCAGCGAGTGAACGAACATTCCTAGGCCCCGAGTGAGGTACAGAAAGAGGACCAAGGACACAAGAACGGGGAGGGGTCAAAACAGGAGGAGACGGTCGGAGGCCTGAGGGATGGCACCGGATGTGCACAGGTGAAGGCCCTTACCGCCCCTAACATGAAAGGCAGGACTCAGAGTAAAAGGGAATTCAACACTGACAGGAGAGTAAACAGACTGACCCACAAGTGCTGGTTTAGCCCTTAGCTATGTGACCAAAGATGACATAAGCTTTCTGAAGCCCAGCTTCCTCATCCGTGAAGTCGGGTGTAGAGCCACACAACTGCTGAGAGCCCTTTCAGCTCCGACAGGAAGCATTCCTGCCTTTCTCTTTACCTGACACCATTCCATTTCCAGGAGAATCACTCCTCAGATCCGCTACGAGGGAATTATTCATCAGCCCCCGGTGATCTGGGTTTCAACCCAGTCTTGACCAACCTGAGCCCATCCTCCTTCTAGGTTGTGGAGTACAGGAGCCCTGGGAGAAGCGACAGGGGGAAGAGGCCTGTCTCTGGAGCCAGCCAGACCTGGGTTTAAATTTCACCTCTCTCATTTGCATGGTAGGGGGCCTGAGACCTGGGAGAGGGCCTAAGACACATGGGAGAGGGTGGGCCATGCCATTTGGTTTCCTCGTCCATGAAACAGCAGCACTCCAGTGTGCACACATGCCCCCATGTATAGTTGCACCCACTGCTAGAAAGAGGGGATCATAGTTCCTCTTTCCCAGGGAGCCCCACTCCAGGTACCCTTATGTTTGGTCCCTATCACATGTGGGGACGATTCTAATGTCAGCATAGAAGTTTCGTTTCAGCACAGAAGTGAAGAGCAAGGCTGTGGAGACATCAACCTGCGATGGAATCTTGGCTCTGGTTTAGGGGAATCTTCTAATCCAGCGCTTTCCATAAAAACACAACGCAAGTCACATGTTTAAGTTTAAATTTTCTAGTAGCCACATTTAAAAAGTAAAAAGAAGCGGTCTGGCACATGGCCAAGTGGTTAAATTCACGCGCTGCACTTCCACGGCCCAGGGTTTCACGGGTTCGGATCCTGGGCACCGTTCATCAGGCCACGCTGAGGTGGTGTCCCACATAGCACAACCAGAAGGACCCACAACTAGAATATACGACTATGCACTGGGGGGCTTTGGGGAGAAGAAGAAGAAGAAGAAGAAAAAAAAGATTGTCAACAGATATTAGAACAGGTGCCAATCTTAAAAAAAGTAAAAAGAAGCAGATGAAATAAATTTTAATATTTCGCTTAACCCAATAAATTCAAAATACTGTCATCTCAACCTGTAATTAATATAAAAATTATGAGTGAGATAGTTCCCATTCTTCAGTTCATGCAACAGCAAACCTCATTCAAGGTCAATAAGCAGAGGTGGCCACCTGATTAGACCACACAGTCTCCTCTGTTGCAAAGGAAGGTGGCAGGAGCACACATATCCCGAGGCTCAGGTCCAAGAACTGATCACGGGGGAAGTACATGCAAGGTGTTTGGCACAGCCCTGGTGCATAGGACGCCCAGGGCAATGTCTGCTGTCAGTGCTGTGACTAATCCTTGTGGTCCTCACCTTGTCTCACACAGCGCAGATCCCATGAGACTCTGCTGGCCACCTTTTCCCAGCCCACCTGAATGGAGTCACCACTGAGTGGCTCAGGTTAGGAGGAACAGGGCCGATTTTTCTTGAGCTGGGCGGGGCGGGGGGAGGGGTTGGGGAGGGGGTGCTGTACCAGGCTTCCTGGCCCACGGGCCTCCCAACACAGTTGTGATTCGGGGCAGCAATTTAGGATGTTGATTTTAGGAGGGCAAACAGGTGAGGGATTGTTTGCTGTGGAGGTGGGAGAGGCGTGGCACATGGAATTGGTCTCTTAGGTACCAAGCCTTGACCCGAGAGGGCAGGAAATTGTGCAGCAGCCACAACTCCAAATATCAGGCTGGCACTGCCCTGCTTAAAGAGATTTCTGCAGCTAGTTGGTCTGTTTCTCTCTATTCTCTTTTCCTCCTTTTATCTTTTCTTCCTTCCACAAATACTCAATGAACATTGACTCCACACGCTGCGAAGGCCCCGCGTTATAAATAATAAGTAACACTGATGAGTTCTCAGGATGTGCCGGGTCCCATGCTAAACACTTTGCGTTCCTTCTCTCATTTAAGGTCCACGACCAACCCAGGGCTGTAGGTACCACTATTATTCCCATTGTTCAGATGAGGAAAACTGAGGAAGAGCGAGGTTAAGTAGCTTGCACAAGGTCTTACAGCCAGGGTTTTCATCTAGCCTATATGGCTTCAGAGAGGAAGGCGGGGTTCTTGCCCTCAATGAGCAGATGCGAGGAAAGCAACAAGGGGAGAAACTAGCTCTGCTTGGGAAATCAAGAAAGGCTTCCCAGGGGAGGTGACATTCTGTCTGGGGCTTGAAGGATGAATAGCAGTATTCTGATGGGCAAGGCAGGGAGGGTGTCCAAGGAAGCAGGAGTAGGAGTAGTAAAAGTAAAAAACATGTGAATTAGATAGTTTACTTTCCGTGGCCTTCCAAGCTTTCCCTCTATAAACTAAATAGTATTTGTTCCCAACCCACCCAGGAGCCTCAGGTCACCTTTTGGCAGTCTGTCTCCTAAAGTACCCTACATCTGTAAGCTCTTTCTCTCCCTTACTTTTATCAATCATAATTTAGGCAATGTATGAAAAAATTCAGAATGTTTGGAATGCATTTTTCAGCATTGACAATATTCTTAGGGCAAATCTGCCTTACAGCATCAAAAGTTGGGCCTCTTCCAAGAATCTCTGTGGCGTTGAGACCAAGAGCCCAGACTCTAGGTTCAAACAAGCTGGGTTGGAATGCCGGCTCTACCACTCATCAGCTGTGTGACCAAAGGTGAGTTTCTCACCCTCTCTGAGTCTCAGCTTCCTCATTCATAGACTGAGGTCACAGTTCATCCAGAGGATGAATGTGAGGGTCAGGCAGGATCCCGCACAAAAAGAAAATGCCTGGCACACAGTTTGCCCTCAGCACCTCACCAAGCAGATTCCAAAAGAAAAGAAGGGCCCTCAGGGAAGGTGTGAGCTCCAGACCCGCATCTCATACTCACAGTCGTGAATGAGGTGGTGGCCTCACCGCTGGTTTACGAAGAGATGTCAAAGATATCTCAGCTTTGCAGGTCACACACTCAGGCTCTCCTGAGGACGCAGAGTCACTCAGGCCTGGGGGCCAACTCACACTGACCCTCTGCACAAGCAACTGATTTATAAACCAGAAGCCTGATGGTGAATGACACTGGCGAGGGGTGCCTCTCCGCCGTCTCCCCAGCAGGGCTGGACAGACACTGACGAGTTCTTCCTCTCTGACCACCTTCTTTATCCTACAAACAGACTGCAATAATACATGTGGGTGGGCTGCAACCTCATTAGTTGGCTTCCAATGCCCGGCACACAACCTAGTTCCTGAAGTAGAGGTGGAGTCCCAGGCAGAAGGCAAACTTTAGTTAACGACAGTCTCATTCTGAGGAGCTGCTGGACACCTGGCTCAGACCTGGGCACATCTCAAGTTACCTCACCAATGCCTTTGCAGCCAACTTGGAGGGTGTGGCTGCCATGAAGATGGCTTCCTTCACCCAGAGGTGCTGGTTCTCGTGGGTTTCACTCCCGATGGGTGGCTTTATTGCTAAATTCCACTCTAACTAGTACTGCCCATACACTGACCAAAGAAGGGAAGGGTACTTAACACTGCTGAGTGCCTACTGCATGCCGGTGCTACTGAGTGCAAGGTACTTACACTGAATGCTTGTAAAGTCTTGTTGGGAAGTATCTTCATCCCCATTTGATGACTGTGTCACACCAAACACATGTCCTCTCCAACACCCCAGGTGTGGGAACCTCTGCCGAAATACCAGAACGAGAACTTGATTGCAGGACACATTCTCACGGAAGGGCGGCAGCTCTGGCACATTTTCCTTCCATGGAAGCTCAGCTGTGATTCAGTTGCTTCTTTTCTGGATTTGGCCTAAATGTTGGGGGTTGAGGAGATTCTGATGAAGAATTAAAAGGATATGGTTTGGAGGATGGGGGGAGATGGGTGAAGGTGGTCAAAGGATACACACTTGCACCTATAAGATGAACAGATTCTGAGGATCTAATGGACAACATGGTGACTATAGTTAACAATGCAGTTCTGTATACTTGAAAGTTTCTAAGAGAGTAGATCTTAAGTGTTGTCACCACACAAAAAGAGTAAAAAGAATGGTAAGTATGTGAGGTGATAGATGTGTTAACTAACCTTATTGTGGTAATCATTTTGCTATATATATCAAATCATCACACTGTACACCTTAAATTTACACAATATTTTTTGTCAATCATATCTGAATAAAGCTGGGGGAAAAAAGGGATATGGGACAGCTAAAGTTGAGCAGAGCAAGGAGAAGGGGTGTTCAATGGGAGAGCTCACCAAATCCTATTGGATGGAGGCATATCTAGTAATAATTAAAAGAGGATGCTAAACATAAATGAGACAAAAAAACGAATTATTTAAAATTGCCAGTACTATTTTCAGAGTATTCCTTTTTGTATTGTTTTGACTTTTGGAATCACTGTAATGTTTTACATATTCAAAAGAATAAAATCAATTCAATAAAGCTGGAGGGAAAAAACTAAAATTGAATACAAATAAAAACAAATGAGCCTGTGTTTCCAATGAGTAGCAGACACGGTGAAAGGGAAAACAGAGAACGAATCCAAGTAACTTTTGAACACAATTCTTGGATTACATATCATCAGTCTAAAGAAAAAAAGAAATGCAAACAGATCTTGAACACTATTTAGTAAGTTTGTTTTTCCATAGTGGAATGGATGTAGCAATCCCTGAAACTATTTGTGTGTTGTAATATTGAGCAAATGATACCATTGTTTTGATGTTTGGGAACCAGGGTTCTCACTGGGGAAGAGAGTGAGAATGGGGGAAGACAAGGAAAATTCTATGAGTTTGGATTGGTACTAGAGGTAGCAGTATGAGTTCATAATTTTACATAGATAGCAGGAGTGCGAGAAGAACCCTATGAAATGACTATTCTTTCCAGTTTTGTCCACTGTGAAGGCCTAGGAGCAAGGACACTCAGTAGCAGTGAGCCCACTAGTGCTCAGATATTGTTTTCTAGGTACTATTCCCCATCAAAAGCAACCAAAGCTCCTTGAAGAAACAACTGATTTCAGGGAATGGGAAAGTCCAAGACGGCCTTGTGCCAGGAAGTAAGGAAGTGCTCAAAGAATGCTAAGTCCATGTGAAAGGAAACCACTTGAAGGAAATCCATTGCCAAATGTAGGACAAACTGAGCATTGAAACAAATAATGATAGTAGTGAATTACAATCTCTTGAATAAAATAGTGATCCATGAGTCCATACTGATACTAACTAAATAAGGAAGAAGGAAAAACACTTGCTTACAATAAAATGCCAATTATTAAATACAGAAGAAATAATAGAGTTAGAAAATCAGCATTGCAGCCATCATTGTAATAACTAATTCAAGCAAGAATCATCAATGTATATCAAAGCTCTTGAGTAAAAATTTATATGGAATCAGTGATCTATATAGTCTCAAAGTATCTCCCCAGACCTCTTATGACTTAATAATTAATTAAAATTAATTAACTACTTATTAATTATAAAGGGGGAAATTATATAGCAGAGAAACCTGGAAGGCACCACCTTAACCAAATGATCAAAATTAACATCATCATTAATGAGACAAACAGATACCATGTGTTTCCTGATATCATGCACTGAGAACATAATATCACTTCCATGATATTCCTTGGGGAAGGAGGAAGCTATAACCTAAATCTCCTCACCGGGCCGTCCCACCTATGATAAAGTTTAATTTATAAATTAGGTACAGTAAGAGATTAACAACAACAATGAATAATAAAATAGAACAATGATAACAATATACTGTAGTAAAACTTATGTGAATGTGGTCTCTTTCTCTCTCAAACTATCTCATTGTACTGTACTTACCCTTCTTCTTGTGATGATGTGAGCTGATGCAAGCCCTACGTGATAAGACGAAGTGAGGTGAATGACATGGGCATTGTGCCCGAGTGTTAGGCTCCTACATATTGATCTGACAATACATCAGAAGGGGGATCATCTAGCCATGAGGTTGTTGATGGTTGGGTGTCAGGAGCTGTTGATGTCAATGGTTGGGGATCCAAGAAAGGGATGCTTCACATCCCGGGCGAGATGGAACGGGATGGCGCAAGATTTCATCACACTGACTCAAAACGACGTGTAATTTAAAACTTACAAATTGTCTATTTCTGCAATTTGCCATTTAATATTTTTGGACCGTGGTTGACCACAGGCAACTGAAATCATGGATAACGGGAGACTAGTGTAACATCCATTAACTACAGGGCAAAACCAACATACACTTCCTACAGCTTCGATTCAGCTTCTGCTAATGCAAGGGTTGCTGGCTTCTGGTGGGCTGACATCAGAGGACAATGACCTTAGGAATTAATTTATTTTCACCCTTCTCAGTGCTGGCACTGCCCTCAGAGGTAGGTGCTCTTGAGAAGCCTCTGCTGTGTGGAGTAGTGGAAAAGTCCGGAGCTTATAGTTGGGTAGACCTGTTGGATGGAATCTGTCACTGGCTGTGTGACTTCAGGCACAGGGACAATTTATTTTCTCTGATGATCAGTTTTCCCATCAATAAAAATGGGGACAATGTATATATTTTACAGGACTAAATGACACCATGCATGTGATCCATGCCCAGCCAATCATAAGTCTTAGTACTTGGTAATTTTTTTCCTTCTTTCTTTTGGTCCAACAGCATTTATGCGTCTTCATGGAGCTGGGTGGAGGGCTCAGAGAACGCACTACAAATTATTTAAATCTTTTTCTCATTAAAAGAATACTATCAAAGCAATTTTTGTGTGTTATAGAAAAATTAAAAAGACAGAAAGTAAAAAAGATGATAATATTCCACAACACTATTAATAGTTGATGGATATTCTTCTAGACTTTCTTCTGTGCATACATCATATACATTTTTATATAAAAATAATATAATACTGTACCTACTGTATTGTAACTTGCTTTTAAAATCCAACCCTAGATCATGAACATCTTAACATATAAATAAACCCACTTGTACAACCTAATTTTTAATTACTACATAGTAGTCATTGATGGCTGATTCAATTATTCAAACCAGTTCTCTTTGATAGACATGTAGATTGTTTCCAATTTTCTGCTGTTATAAACAGTACTACAAGTAGCATTCTTGTGGGTAAATCTGTGTTCACACCCTTAATTATTTCCTTAGTACAAATGCTTAGAAATGGAATTACTGGGTTAAAGATAATTCCTAATGTTAAAGCTTTTGATATCATTTGCCACACTGCCCTTCAAAAAGTTATAACAAATAGTATTCACACCAGCAGTGTATAAAACACTAGGAAATGATCTTCATTTGAATGTCCCAAGCTTGGTAAAGAAATGTATCTCTTGACGGGGCAGAGAGAGGCTGTAAAGCTTGGGTTTCTGGCCTTCTCAGCGGACAGATAGATGGATCAGGACTTTGGGGGGTAAGAAGGCTGCTCCCCTATTCAAGTAATGTCCTAAACTCTTCTCCAGTGAGTGCAGCAACTACTCTGTGACAGGCACCATGCTAGATGCCGGGGATAAAGAACCACAAAAGCATCTCCCCCATCCCGAGGAGCAGATTACAGTACAATGTGGTACGTCTACCCACAAAAGCAAGTCTAAGCCAGACTTGGGCAGACAGAGGGGGCAAAAGGAACTAGCAAAGATTTCCTGGAGGAGGTGACATCGTCGAAAAGCTTTGAAGAGTGACTAGGAGTTAGTTCCCTGAAGAAGTGGGGCAAGGCAGAGGGATCACATGTTCAAGACCTCGAAGTGGGAGCAAGTAGATTCAGGGGAACTATACGCTGGAGTCTAAACACCAACAAACCCAAACCCAGAAATGTTCTAAAAAGGCTTTTTTAAAAAATTTATTTAATTTATTTTTTTTATTGAGTTAATGATAGGTTACAATCTTGTGAAATTTCAGTTGTACATTAATGTTTGTCATTCGTGTTGTAGGTGCACCACTTCACCCTTTGTGCGCCCCCCACCCCACCTTTCCCCTGGTATCCACTAAACTGTTCTTAGTCCACATTTTTAAATTCTGAAAAGGCTTTTTCAATGAGAGCCTATTTTTCAGTTTACTCCATGGTAACAGCTGGAGAATCATTTGCTCCAGTGGCATGTGGCGGGTGACAGACACCATGGGGCTGCAAATGATCTGTCAGTGACAACAGAAAGCACCCTGCGTCATGCTCTTTATAATGAAATCTCCCCTGACATGGGGGATACCTGGCTTGTCATGCATAAT